CCAACGATGAACTCTTCTTAAACACCTTGCCTCTATCTAAATTCTGGCATTATAGAAGTTCTATTTACTTTCTTTTTAAAAAATGATTTATTTATTTATTTTATGTATATGAGGACACCATTGCTCTCTTCAGACACACCAGAAGAGGGCATCGGATCCTATTACAGATGGTTGTGAGCCACCATGTGGTTGCTGGGAACTGAACTCAGGACCTCTGGAAGAGCAGTCAGTGCTCTTAACCGCTGAGCCATCTCTCCAGCCCTCTATTTACTTTCATTGTTGGCTAAATTTCTATTACCTTAATCCTAGAATTACTTCAACATTTGCTTTCAATCAAGGAAATCTGAAATGTACACAATCCTTTAGAGTAGCTGGGTGTATAGTTGAGAAGCAAAGCCCCCAAAACCCTAGGATCAATCCCTAGCACCAAAACCAAAATTTAAAAATGCCTCAGACATGCAAGAAGATGTGATAGTGATCTAGAACAGGAATTCAAGTAAAAGCTTTAAAAAAAAAATTTACGTGTTGTGTTTGTGTACATGCTTGGAGAAACCAGAAGTTGGCATCAGACTCCTTAGAAATGGAGTTACAAACAGTTCTCAGGGAACCATGGATATGGGTGCTGGAAATCACTCTGGTCCTCAGGAAGAGAAAGAAGTATGTACATATAAACACTAAGCCATCTCCTTAGATTTATTGAAAGCTCTAAGCCAATGGGTCTCAACCTAGGGTAGCAACCCCTTTGAGATCAGACCACCCTTTCATAGAGGTTGCATATCAGATCTCAGATATTTACAATTCATAACATTAGTAAAGTCAGTTCTTGGTTTTGGTGTGTGTGTGTGTTTGTGTGTGTGTGTTTGTGCATGCACGCGCGCGAAAGATCCAATGACCCCACCAGTTGTTTTCTTCTTCTGGTTTTATGAAACAGGTTGTCTTTGTTTAGTCTTGACTATCCTGGAACTAGCTCTAGAGACCAGGCTGGCCTTGAACTCAAAGATCCCCCTGCCTCTGCCTGTGAAGTGCTAGGAATAAAGAATATGTGCCACTACGGCCTGCAAAGTTACAGTTATGAAGTAGCAACAAAAATAATTTTATGGTTGGAGGTCACCACAACATGAGGAACTGTATTAAAGAGTTGTAGCCGTAGGTAGGAAGGTTGAGAACCGTTGCTCTAAAGTCACCAACCTCATGAATTTATATTTACTGTAGGATGAAAGCAAGAAAATTACATCTTGTGATAAATACAACAGAATAAGAAAACAGTAAGATGAAGGACACATCAAAATAGCCACAGAAAATGTAGCATGGGGGACTCTGAAGAGATTACTTTAAGGGGACAGTAAAGGATGTGATAAGCATCCTTTAGAAAAGCAAGCAAGATTTTAACCACTCATTTCTTTAATACTATGCATAAAGTACTTTTGGGTTTTTTCTTTTTAAGATAGGGTCTCACTATATGGCCCTGGCTGTCCTGAAACTCTATAAACTAGGCTGGCCTTGAACTCACAGAGATCTATCTACCTCTGTCTCTGCCTCCTAAGTGCTGGGATTAAGGTGTGTTTCATTATGCCCAGCTCAAAAGAGCATACACCAAGTGAAGTGTTGCAGTGAATGTCCTGCCCACCCCAGGGTTTCTCTATATAGATCTGGCTGTTCTGGAACTCACTCTGTAGACCAGGCTGGCCTCAAACTCACAGATCCAGCTACCTCTGCTGAGTGCTGGGATTAAAGGCACGTACCACCACTGCCCAGCATAAAGTACTTTCTGTCTGAAAAGAGGGGGAATGAGTCTTCTCTAAAGGAATTATGACATCATCAGGCTATAATTAAGTATCATAAGCAAGCAAATTTTAATTATGTAAGACTTAAAAAAGAAACTAGACCTATCCTAGTTGGATCTTCAAGAATAAATAAATTTTGGCTATGAGAAAGGGAAAGAGTAAATGAAAAGATTAGAGAAATCTGTAAATTAAGCATAAGGGGAAAAGTCACATTCACATTTGGCTCAAAGTTGTAAGAAAGAACAGGAGCTAAATTCAGAAAAGCACTGAAGGCAAGTTTAACTTCAAAAGAATAAGGATTGATGTATAGAAAAATAGGAAGTTATGATGCTCAAGTACGTCTGGAATGTCTAGAGATTTATACAGAAAACAAACCATACATGTACCTCAGATCACCTAGTTTAGAGAACAGTGAAGTCCAGAGAACTAAGAAAATCCCCAACAACTAGCATTAAAGAAACCAAGAAAACAACAGAGGGCAGGTTATCCGGCTCAGTGGCTAAGAGCACTTACTGCTCTTCTAGGGCTCCAGGCTCACTTCCCAGAACACACATCAGGCAGCTCACCACTGCCTGGAACGTGCGTGCGTTCCTGTGGGAACATGATGCACATAAGCATACAGGTACACACATAAATACATGAATAAACCTCTAAAACCCCATACACAACACAGTGTACAATGCTGCAGAGGAGATGTAAAAGGCAGGCCTTATGTGTATGACTATGAACACAGCTTTGAGGGGTTAGAGAAACGGCTCAACAGTGAAGAACACTGCTCCTCTTGTACAAGATGAGATTTGGCTCTTTTCTAACTCTTCTGGCATCCTGCACACATGTACTGTATAACTCACTGGAAGTCACTTTGTAGACCAGGCTGGCCTTGAACTCACAGTGATCTGCCTGCCTCTGCCTCCGGAGTGTTGGGATTTAAGCCACCACTACACAGTTTCTAACCCCAGAATTTTATAGACCGAGACAGAAGGAACACTGTGATTTAAAGGGGCCAACTTGGCAGTCGCCCTTTCAAAAATGAAACCAAACTAATAAAAAATGAACAAATCTCTAAAGCTTCTGACAGCAAACTCCATCCAGCCTGTAAGGATGGTCAAGAGCCAAAGCTTGCAACAAGTCAAGACACTCAGAAGGGATGCAGGTCTGATGGAGACACACAGTC